TGTCCAAATTTCAGAGAGGCTGAGGCTATAGGGAGAGGAGCGGCCTGGAAAGCACCCACAGACTCACCTCGGGGTTTCATTAGAGGGAGCAGCTCAGTGCAGACATCTTGGGTACCAAAAAAGTTTGTTTTCAATGTCACTTCTGCTTGAATGTGGAAGGGGGTTGGGTCAGCATCTTCCGGGGGAGAAAGAGAATCGCGTTACTCCAGTGGGATACTATAGACAGGAGTGAGAGCCCTAGCAATCCACTGCCAAGTATTTAGTCAGGGCATCGCCCCACTGCCAATCTGAATATATTCTATCATTTTTGAAAGCACCCAGGGGTGGGGGTGGGGAAGGTTTATGTATTAAGATAGCAAAGTAATCCCCCTCCCCTGGTCTTTTCTTTTTCTCTGCCCAATTCTTTGTTTGTTTTACTACCACATAAGAATTCAATTCAAGTATACCCATGCCCACCTACTCAACTGCTGAGTGAAGGAAACCTGGAAAGCAGGGTAACGCGGTCTAGTTGGGTAAACACAGGGCTCTGCTCTGCCTGCAGCCCCCACCCTGTTCCTTATCTCCCAGGGGACTTGTTTTAGACTCCCACAACACTTTCCCTGCCCTAGCAATGCTCCCCTGAGAAGCAGAGCCCACCCTGGCACCGCCGGGGAAGCCGCCTCCCCTTTCCACACCCAGGGCTTACTCTTGAAGGCAATTCCCGCATTGTTGACCAGTATGTCCAGTCCCCCGTATTCCTTGAGCAAAAAGTCTCGCAGAGCGCGGATGCTCTGCAGGTCGTCGATGTCCAGCTGGTGGAAGCGCGGGCTCAGGCCTTCTGCCTGCAGCTGCTGCACTGCAGCCTTGCCCCTTGCCTCGTCTCGCGCGGTGAGCACCACGTCCCCCAAGAACTTCCGACAGAGGTCACGAGTGATGGCGAATCCTATGCCCTTGTTAGCCCCGGTCACCAGCGCCACGCGGCTGCAGGATGACATGGCTGGGTGGGTGTAGAGTAGGGGTCGGAGAGCAGCGAACCTGGGGTTAACTGCGGTAGGAGGTAGCTGGACAGCCAGTCCACGCAGTGTTTTTCTAGCGGTTGTAAGTTGGAGAGGCCAGCATGGGCGCAATGCGCAGGCGCATCTCTTGATGCCGCCCCCAAGAGGGCGTGGCGTAGCAGGCGGCTTCTCTGGGTCTTGCTTTCTTAAGACTTTTGAAACTGGGCGATTGTCTTGCTGGTGTTTATTTATGGAGTTGTGGCTCACCTTCGCAGGCTTGGTCTTTTTTTTTTTTTTTTAAATAAAAATTTCCAATCAAAGAAACATGCTACATTTCGCTAGCTCAGAGCATGCAGGGTGTTACTGGGTTTTAAAAACCAGCCACAAAAAAACCGGCTGGGCCAGCTAGCTCACAGGTATTTCAGGCTTTCTTCTTAAGCCGACTTGGAAGCTAGCAGCCAGGCAAGACTGCAGGGGAAGGTGGGAGAGAGGGTGCTGCAGCTGTCCAACTGGCAGTCAGGCTTTCGCCTTGCCCATGCTACTGACTCTTCGTCTGTGCTCGTCTGAATTTGCACTGTATTCCCCAACTTGCACACCAGACCTCTGTACTTAGTCTTCCTGGTGTCTAGTAAAATAATGCGCTGCCCTTTAAGTAGCAGGAACTAGAGTTGTAGGATGAACTCTTAGAGAAGGTGAGGAATTGGAGTCGTGTTGAATTTCCCTCTGCACATAAAGCAAAGCTGCTGGATAATCCTTGGGCAGAAGCGTCCCTCCCTAACCGCACGGGCTTCTCTTTACACACTTCTAATGCCTGCCTTTGCTGGAGGTGAGGACTGACGTGTACAGAGGCAAGGGCCATCAGGGAAGGCCGCTCTTCACTCAAAACAGCACACGATGCTCCCCTTATTCCCCTTTGAAGATGACGGGATGCTCTGTGCTCAGAAAGTCTACAGTTGGTTCAGCAGAGGGGAACTAATCCTCACTGTTCCTGACACCCAAGAACTAGGGATCCAAGGTCAAGTTCCATTTCCTTACTCTTCAGTTGGTTGCTACTGCCATGGTGGCCCTTTAAATAAAGTAAGACATTTGAGTTGCACTGACCTCAGTATGCACGAGGGCGGTGGGATTGGGAATACAGTGAAATCCAGGAAACAGATGAGACCTTTCCACGAAGGAAGATTTTTTTTTTTTGTTTTCTTTGGAATGCATGTAGTCAATTCCCATTTCAGGTCAGCCCTCTAGTCAGCTGTTTAGGGAGCATTAATAGCCAGAAAGAGGGCTGGCAGGGGTGGAATAATCAGCAGTGAGGGCAGGTGGCTGGAAAACCCTGCAACCTGGGTTCAATCCCTGGAGCCCAGGCAAAGGCGGGATGAATGTCCTGATTCTCAGTGTGGTTCTGACACCTCTGCAGGTTTGCAGTGGGGTTTGTTCCGGCACACGAAGGTGCACACACACATGCACACACTTACTATTATGTATGTGAACAATAACTTTTTAAAAAATCAGGAATGATCCCAGATTTTCTCCAACTAAATTGTAAGGATTTGTGTGTGTGTGTGTGTGTGTGTGTGTGTGTGGTGCCTCCATGTCTGTGTGGCTTGTGCATACCTGGTGTCATTGGAGCCCAGAAAGGGGTAACAGGTTTCCATGGCCTGGAGGTTGTTAACCATGTTGTCGGTGCTGGGCATCAGAAATTCCAGTGCTGTTTACTGCTGAGCCATCTCTGCTGCACCTGTGCCTTGAAGTTTTTGTGGAAATACTTGAAAAGTCTTGAGGTATTGTAAGAAATAATAGAGAAATTATACATATTTTCAAAAATATTAAAATATACATATGGAGAATGAGACAATCTTTCTTCCTATTCAGACTTCTCTTTTGTGTTCCTAATTAAGTCCTTTATTCTATATAATTTCATTGGAATTATAGATTTGTATCTATCACAGTGTTGGAGATCGGCTTTGACAAAGATTCTGTTTACCAGAGTAGGGGATTAGAAAAATAAATCAATTGAAGGAAGATGTGAGTGAAAATAATAAACAGAAACATAGGATAGTACCAGGAGGGAGTTCGTGAATACTGAGTTCGCCAATGTTTAATTTCCACTAGCTTATCATACCCCTGGCCCCAAAAGATAGTAGTAAGATAACCAACTATATTAACATGATACAAGGAAATGAATATACCAGTTGAAGGTCGTAGGCTACATTCTTAAACATTCTGTTGCTAGAACAAGACAAGTATTGCTCACACCCTAGACCAAAAGCATTTTGTATGCAAACCACTCCCTGGGTGGAATCCATAGGCAGCTCCCTAAGGTAGTAAAATCTTAGTAGGATCCTTAGAGCTCTGTTTGAGGTAGAAACTGATCTACTTCTCTATACTTGAAATAGAAGGTCTGGATATTAGCCACACCTGTTGACAACAACCTTGAGCGAGCAGAACCCTCTGCTCCACATCTAGGTGGGGCCTTTATTTGAGGTTGAAGCACAATAGCCTTGAAAGAAAAGAAGTTCTAACTCTCTGACCTTCAGACAGCATGGAAATCGGATCACAGTTGTGGGCCTCTACGTCAGTCAAGACATGAAACACCCCATCAGTGTCTGGATCCCTCTTGTTGCTGTTTCTTGAGGAAACACCCCTGTATTGCTCCTCAGTGCTGAGCACTGTTAGGCAGGTGAAGCACACTGTGCTTGGTCTTGCTAAATGTCTCTCACTCTGGACAAGTTATCAGTTGTGCTTTTCTCCTTTATCACAGCGAGTACTTGCTGCAAGTTCCACACCACTGGACCCCGTCTTCTGCTGTTGGACTTAGCCTGAGACAACCCAACTACAGTCTCTTCTCTGAATGGGCTCCTGGTCCCTGCCATCCTGCTTCTCCTGTAACCTTTTTCCTTCCTCTTAATTCTCCCTACCCTTATGTTTTTGCCTTGTCTTTTAAACTTTTCTTAAAAAACCAGAAATTTCTCTTGGGTCTTTGGACAGAAATTCGTCCATCACGCAAATCAAATTAAAAACAGTGTGTCTTTTAGAGTAACCCCAGACTGAAAAACTTCTAAAAAACGATGTCCCCTGTGTCAAGAGGAAGTAGCCAGAGAGAAGTCTCCCCTATCTTTTATATGAGAAAAGGGTCTGGAACGTCCCCTGACTCCAATACAGCCAAATCCCTGAAATTGAACTCAAAAAGTTCTTTAGTGATTGTACAAAAAAAAAAAAAAAAAAAAAAAAAAAACCAACCAATCAAACAAAACCAGCTGATACCTACTCTAGTCACCCAGAGGTTGCAAAGGCAACTGCCCCTGTGTTTCTCATTCTACCCTTAGGAAACTCCCTTTCTCCCTTCCGAATCCTTAACTACAAAAATCCCAGCCTAAAGCATGGGACCTCTGGTCTTTGACTGAGTCCTGTGCCCCGATCATGCACAAATGGCCAGACCTAGAAACACCTTCCCTGGCATTGACCAAAGCTTGCTCACCTTTTATTTCTCCCTACGAGCTTCTTACTTTTCCTTATACTTTGGCCCTAACAATTCCGGTAACAGCCTCGGGACAAGACTAATGCGTACACAGAGGTGGATGAGGGGATAGCTGCCTGGGAAAATGGTGTGCCCGGGTCCTGATGGGAGCCAGGTAAGCCAGCCTGGGGCAGGGCTGCAGGTGTGTATTTGGTGGTGGTGGGGGGGGGGGGGCGGCTGGGGAACTGCGCGTGCGCAGCAGAGGCGCAGGCTCGCGACAAGCAGCCGCTTCCTCCACAGCTGAGCGCGCCGTCTCCGACTCCACACCCGCCACGCGCTATTCCCCAGGTGAGCGGAGGACTTCTGGGTTGGCCCGGCGTTGTCTGGGGAACGACAGCGGGGTTCGGTTGGACTTCCCGAGTTCTGTGCAAATTCTGACCCCAATTTCCTGGTCCTGCCTGCAACCTCTCCCCGACCGGAAGTCAGGACGGGATCGAACCCTGTGCAGGCGCAGGATGCACGGTCGTCTGTCCCCAGTCCGTTTGCCTGTGTGGGCGACGTGCAGTGATTGATGGGGTCCGCCGGGACTGTGCTTTGGCGTGTGGCCATCACTGGGGTGCTGATGGGAAGCAGGGTGCAGGGCTTCGGTGGAACTGCACGTCCCTGTGCACCCACATCTGGGCACCGGCGGGGACCAGGCCTGCACGTCCAGTGTTCCTGCCGAGGTAGATTATTAACGCTACCTGCGCGGCTGACCTGGAGGTTCATTTCTGCCCAGGCATTTTTTCTTTCTTTTTAAGAAGCAGATTTTGAAGTCATTTTGCATGGGTATAACATGTCAAATATGTGTAAATCACTTATGCCACTTTAGTATGCACCTGTACGATACAGGGTAGGGCGTGAAATAGAGCTTTCAGATAGTGTTGTTTAGGTCGTTTAGTTATAGAGTTATACTATTTCTTCCTTTCTCTCTCTCTCTCTCTCTCTCTCTCTCTCTCTCTCTCTCTGTGTCTCCTCAGAGGCAGGCCCTAAAGGGATCTATCTTATCTTGGGTATAAAGGTGTTTTACCTACACGTGTCTGTGTACCACATTCGTGCAGTGCGTGTGGAGGCCAGAAGAGGACATCAGCTCGCCTAGGACAGGGATTACTCTTGGGCACTAGGGACTGAGCCCTGCTCTTCTGTAGGAGCAGCAGGAGCTCTCAACCACTGAGCCATCTCTCCAGCTGCCCCCATCTTTTAATTTAGAATTTTCGTTATTATTATTATTATTTTTTTTTCGGTAGCTTTGGAGTCTGTTCGGGAACTGACTCCAGGCTGGCCTTGAACTCACAGATCCGCCTGCCTCTGCCCCCCAAGTGCTGGGATTAAAGGCGTGCACCACCAATGCCCGACTTCAACTTTATTTTTCCTCACTATTTCTCGCTTAGTTTTATGTCGTAGTGTACATCTTCCAAAAATGCTTGAGTTTATTTCTGTTAATTCCTCCAGTTGGTCCCCACTCTGTTGTCTGTATTCTCTGGATTTTCCCTTTTCAGAAAGCTTTCGAGAGACTAACGTAGAAAGCAGTAGTCATTCTTTTGTCTCCTGCTCATCTCTGACTTGTGTTCCCATCTTGGTTTTCATTTCTCTCTAACGTAGTTATATTTATTCCTAGACCCTAGTGTCTAAAAATCCATTTGACGCTGATGGGGGTTTATTTCTTCTTTCTAAGACTTTTGAGATGATGGGTGCTTCAAGGACTGTGTATTCTTTTTGGTACTTACTTATTGTTGTGGGTGCTCTGCCTTCACAGTGTGCTCTGCACGTGTGCACTGAGCCCTGTCTCCAGTTCCCGTGTGTCCTTGAGTGCGTTAACTGGCACTGAACTGTGAAAGTCACCAAAGGCTACGTCTAGGAAGTCAGCTGTGAGAATCTAGTCAGCAGGACCTCCAGATGGTTTTGTTTCCTCTTTTTAGAGCAGAGGTCTTAACCTTCCTAATGCTGCTGCCCTGTTCCTCATGTTGTGGTGACCCCTGCCATAAAATTATCTCACTGCTATGTTGTAGTGCTATTTTGTTTGTGTTTTAACAAAAAAAGCTTGCCTGAAGATCAGAGTGCAGAGCTAAGCCACTAGAGGCCAGGCGGTGGGGGCACACATCTTTAATCCCAGTACTTAGGAGGGAGAGGCCTACGGATCTCTGTGAGTTTCAGGTCACCTTGGGATACACTAGATTGAATCCAGTCTCAAAGAGAAACAGAGATCACACCTTTGATCTCAGCACTTGGGATCCCACACCTTTAATCCCAGCACTAGGGAGATGGAGACAGGAGTGATGTGGCTGGGTGGAGAGAGGAAGATAAGGCAGGAGGAGACCTTAGCTCAGAGATGCAGTCTGAGGCCACAGTCTGAAGTAGTCAGCCTAAGGAACAGTCTGAGGACAGGGTCGCTCCGTTGGTCTGAGCAGTGCTAGAGGTAAGAACTCTAGTGCCTGATGCTGTGCTTCTATGGTCTTCCAGCATTAACCCCTTGGTCTGACTCTGGGTTTTTATTAGTAATGCCTAGAATTTGTGCCATACTACATCATAACTGTAATTTTGCTACTGTTATGAATTGTACTATAAATATCTGATGTGCAGGATATATGATGTGGGACCTCTGTGACCTCCATAGTTGAGACCCAAGTGACCCACAGGTTTAGAGGACACATTATGGTTATTTGTTACTGCAGGGATCCTGATTTATCACACCTTTTAAGAGTGTACACACCTTTTAAGAAAAGGATTTTTTAAAAAATGAAAACATTCACCAAAATGTGTATTTGTATATTCACTCATCCACTTGGTGAGTAAGGCTGAGACTCTCCTTATTTTAGGTTGAGCGACGCAGGGGCGCTTGTTTTTAATATGCAGAAGCGAAGAGGAAGAACGGGGAGAGTCAGAAGGCGAAGACGGTGCTGTGACTCCAGAGGAGGTGACTGCGGAGGGGTCCTGTGTGCTCACAGTGTTCCTCGTGGGAGAGCCCTGTGTGGACGAGGGTCTGCTCACACAGAATCAATCCAAAACTTTTCACTTTAGCCTCAGGCAGGCTCTTGAGACAAGGGCAAAAAGCAGCCACATTCTTCACCAAAATATCACAACAACGATCTCTAGGCAACATAATAAAATTCTTCTCCTCTGAAATCTCTTGAACCAGCCCCCAGCAGTTCAAGTAACGCTTATCACCACTGTCTTCCCTGTTCCTACTCATATGAATTATTAAGCAGTGATTAAAGCATTCCACTGCTTTCCTAACCCAAAGTACCAAAGTCCAAAGTTCTGCAAGCAAAAGCATGGTCAGACTTATCACAGCAATACTGGTACCAATTTCTGTTTTAGTTAGGGTTTCTATTGCTGTGAAGAGACACTTTGAGCACCTCAACTCTTTGTTAAAGAAAATATTTAATTGAGGTGGCGACTTACAGTTCAGAGATGCAATTCTTCATCGCCATGGCAGGGAGTGTGGCAGTGTACAGGCAGACATGGTGCTGATTACCTCTTGATCAGAAGGCAGCAGGAAGTAGACTCAGGTACTGGGCGGTATCTTGGTCATAGGAAACCTCAAAGCCTGTCCCTACAGTGACACACTTCCTTCAACAAGACCACACCCACCTCAATAAAGGCACACCTCCTAATAGTGCCTCTCCTTATGAGACTATGGGGGCCAATTACATACAAGCTACCACAGTATATATTTCTCTCTCTCTCTTTGAGACCGAGTATATTAAGCAGAATAACTTGTAGTAGAGGCTGGGAAATGTAGCATCAAGGTTCTGGATAACTTGGTTCCTGGAAAGGGCTGTCTGCCTGCCTCACCATGTCCTCATGTGGTGAGGACATCTGTGTTCCTCCTACTTTTGTTGGAAAGGGGTGCTGGCCATCAGATCTATGTCTTCAGGCATAAGTGCACGCTGTACCACTGAGATACATCCTCAGTCCCCTCTCATAAAGCCACCATCATGAAGATCCTCCCTATGACTTCTTAACCACTGAGCCATCTCTCCAGCCCCACGCTGTGTCTTCTAACCCTGGTTGTTCACTTTAGACTCCATTTCCAGCTCTCATGAGATCTTCAGTATATATCTAAAAGAAGCATAAAATCTAAAAGTCATGTTTATTATGTACCTTTTACTTGTCTTCAGCAGTATTTTATAGCTTTTGATGTGTAAGTCATTATCTATACAAACATACATATATATTTGGATCTATTAAGAATTTCATATTTTATCAGGCAGTGGTGGTGCATACCTTTAATCCCAGCACTTGGGAGGCAGAGACAGGTTCTCTAGAGTTTGAGGCCAGCCTGGTCTACAGACTGAAATCTAGGACAGCTTGGGCTACACAGAGAAACCCTGCCTCAAAAAAACCCCCCAAAAACAAAAAGCAAAAAACAACCCCCCCATCCAAATTTTATATTTTAGTAGCATTTTTGGAATTTGATTTTTTAGTTATTACTAATATATGTAAATATAATTATTTTTTATATATTGATTTTTATCTTACAACTTTGTTAAATTCATATGTTGTTTTGATATTCTTCTTAGATATTCCATGATTATGCTTATGTGTTCTGAAAATTTTGTTTTTTCCCCCACTTTGGTTCTTTTATTTATTTTCCCTTATTACACTGGTTAAATAGCTTTTATCTTTTTGAGGGAAAATGAGAGATGTCTATCTTTTTCTTGTTCCTTATGTTACGGGAGATCACTTAACTTTTCACTATTGTAGGCTATTTGTACACTGTGTGGAGATACATTGTTGTGATTGTCTTAATAAAGAGCTGAACGGGCAATAGCTAGGCAGGAGGTATAGGCACAGAGAGAGGAAGTAGGGGGAGATCATTGAGATGCAGAGGAGATGCCAATGAGACATGGAAGGAATTGGACATACAGAATGAAAGAGGCGTAAAAAGCCACGTGGTAAAATGTAGATCAATAGAAACAGGTTAATTTCAGCTTGAGAGCAAGTTAGGAACAAGCCTGAGCTATAGGCCGGGCTTCTGCGGTAACTCTCAGTGTTATTGTTTGGGAGCTGGCTTGCCGGGCAGAGACAGATTCCTTACATTTCCCTGTTAGTGTGGCAGCTGCATGGTGGTGCTGGGAATGGAGCCAGGACTTTAAGTATGGAGCCAGGACTTTAAGTGTGGAGCAGAAGTTCTACCCGGGGCCATAGCCCCTGCCCTGTCATCTCACCCCCTACCAGTGTTTTTGTTGTATGTTATTTATCTGGGCTTGGAAATTTCCTTCTGTCTTCATTAACTGGTGATTTTTATCAGACTGATGTTAGATTTTTATCAAATATTTTTGTGCATGCATTGAAATAACCATATAGCAAATGACTTTTCTGTTTAGTGTGTATCATTTTCATTTTTAGTGAGATTCATTCCCTTTGTGATCTGCCTGTCTGATACAACGCTGTTAATGTGGTGTGTCCCTGCCTCTCCTGACAGTGAACGAGAGCCACAGACCTGAGTTTATAGAGCTGAAGAGATGGCTGAAAGATAGGAAGTTTGAAGACACAGGCTTAGTACCTGCCTGTTTTCCAGGTGAGAGTCGTGTGGAAGGCGGGGACGGGGTGGGGGGAGGCAGGGGTGGTTCCTGCAGTGGCTCTGTCATTTCCAGAAGCACATCTGTATTTGGGCTTCGCTGTTTGTTTGTGCTTTACCCTGCTTTTCTATGGAAGGGAATGACAGATGAGGAAGAAAACTTACAATTGAAGACGGGGAATAATAAAAGAAAGAAAGATGAAGCCATAAGGCCAGCTGTGGTGCACGCCTTTAATCCCAGCACTCAGGAGGCAAAGGCAGGCGGATCTCTGTGAGTTTGAGGCCAGCCTGGGCTATATAATGAGACCTTCTTTCAAATTTAAGAAAAAAGAAAAGGGAAGTAGATGTAGCCATGAATAAGGACAACACGTGAAAACATAAAGTCTTAGCACTTGTGAGAGGGCAGCGTTAGACATGTCTTTAAAGAGCCCATGTGACCGACAGGACTGGTGACCTGAACCTGAGGGGCACACCTCACAGTGCACACTTTCCTTCGCACTTGGGGAACCCTAATTAAACAACCTTGAGATTTTGTCTCACCCCGGTCAGAATGGCTGATATCAACAAAACACCCGGCAGCACACGCTGGCTGGCTGTGGAGAAAGATGCCCCCATTCACTGCTGGCAGGAAGGCAGATGGATCTTCTACTCCAGATACCAGTACAGAGAATCCTCAAAAAAACTGAAAGGTGAATCTACCATATGATGGAGCTATGTCCACTCCTTGGCATATGTCCCAAGGACTCAACAGATTCTTCTTCAGCCATGTTCATTGCTGCTCTATCCACAATAGCCAGGAAATGGAAACGGCCTGAATGTTCTTCAGCGGATGAACGAGTAGTCAAAATGGTGGTGTGCTCAGTGAAGTTCTGTTCAACTGTACAGAAAAAGGAAAGTGTGAAATTGTAGGGAAATGGATGGACCTAGAAATGATCACACTGTGTGAGGTAACCCAGGCCTAGAAAGGTAAATAGTGGTTCCTATCTCCATAGCCACAGATATAAGTGTGGCTGCCACCCACTTTAGGGCAGACTGCCTCAGAGACCACAACTGGACGCATTGCAGAGATCATGGGAACCCAGCCCCAGCAGACACTTCTACACCACAGTGTCTGCGTCTGGGGCTCGGGGAACATCTCTGAGGAAGAACGTGTGTAAGAGCTGGAAACCAGGACGTCCACTGTGCTGTGAAATAGTCTCTCGTGGAAATGACTGCACACACAAGACCAGAACAATGGCAGTAGCAATGGGCGTGATCATGTAGAAGGGGGATACTTTGTGGGTCCCACCGCTAGACGGAGAGCTGATGACTGCTGGGAGGAGAATTTGCCTCACCCAGGCACAAGCTTCCTTATTGATGAGCCAGCACAAAGCGGTCAGCCTTGAAATGAGAAAACCGAGACTGTCAAATTAGAAGTTTGGGTATTCCTGGAACCTCAGCCTGAAGGAAAGACCTGGGCTGAATCCTCAAAGGCACTTGTGTTCTGAGCGTAGGACTGCTCAGCTGTATCCCTTGAGGTTTGGCAGTGTTTGGGGAACCGTGCAGGCGGGTGGGATTGTCCCAGGCCCAGGAAGGGTGCAGTTATCTGAGGGTAAGGCGTGCTCCAGCCACACTTGAGGTGCTTCTTCTGTGCCGTGGTGTGGCTCCAGGGGAGGGACCCTTGGTGTGGCCCTCAGCAAATACTGTCCCTCAGGCAGTTTGGGTCTCTTCTCTCATGTTGGAGGAACACTCTGTCTGCTCCCACGATCATCGATCATCTGAACCGAGGCAGGTTACCGTTCTCTGGAATTTGATAGCTTCTTGTGGAGGCTAAGTTGGCATTAGTTTGGATCTATTTCTCGGAAGTTGGGCAATGTCCTACGGACGTGGGTGGACAGCATCTGCAGAGCAGACAATGTCCTTCGGGAGGACTCGGGTCTGGGGTAGCAGAGACAGTTCTGCAGTTGGGACCCATTGTTCTTCACACGCTCAACCATAGCGCTAAAAGCACATGCTACTGGACTTTCCCTCTGGCCGCTCGTTAGCTTCTTTTACCTCCCAGGGTGAATGATTTCCCACGTGGCCCCAGCTGAGAGGTGCGCATGATGGTACTCCCTGTGGGTCATTTGCACATGGTGGCTCTGGAAGATTCGAGCTGCCAGTCTGAATAGCAACACAGAGGATAATTGTCACTTGCAGGTTATAGAGCTGGATGTTTGCCATAGTGAACTGTAGATGCATTCAGGGAGGCAAAGGGGGAAGGGCTTAAGGTAAACTGGACGGGTTACGTAGTTATTCTGAAACAGTTGTCCACAGCCACAGAATCCCAAGGGCAGTGCGAGTCTAGGGTCGGACACCGACTGCTGGGCAGGTGTCTTCTCGTGACGACTGTGTAAAGTTGGAGTTTAGCAGAATATTTTGTGCTAGTTCCTATTGTAAGACAATTAAGTATGAAGCGTCTCCCTTCTGACTCTCTCTGACTTCACCTGTCAGGGTTTGACACAAATGCCTGTCTCCATTTTGTTCTTGACAACATTCACAGGACCGTCTTTGGTCAACGTCTCCGCTGGTGTGAACTACATTGTCAGCCAAGGACAGGACATTTAACTCTGTGTTTGTATGTCAAAGCCTGGTCACCGAGTCACTTTCTTAGGTTGTAGCTCATCTTGGGAAGTGTCAGCATTGTCCCTGTGTCAAGGTCCTTAGATCTTGACCTAGAACCCAGCTTTGCTGTTCCAGGAATGCAAACCCACAGAGAGGCCAGGTTATATTCTAGAACAGCTCCTGATCCCATCTTTCCTGGGAGGGAGAGCCAAAAGACCCACCTGCAGCATAGCACTGTGAGGACCTTTTATCAGTCCTGAAGGGGGCCCCCAAATCTCTAAGATACAGTAGGATTTACCCCTCCATGTTTTGATTCTTCTAGGAACAGGAAGAGGGCTGATGAGCAGAACATTACTACAGGTGAGAACGGCTTCTTTACCCTGGAGGTTCAAGATTGACTTTGCTTTGTGCATGCGTGCATGTGTGTGTGTGTGTGTGTGTGTGTGTGTGTGTGTGAGTGTGTGTGTGCATGCATGTTGCTCACATGAAGGGAATCAAATGTGCTTCTCCTGTGCAGCCATATCTCTTAATTACCAAATAGATATGTTGGTTAGGATTATGCCAAGGAATCCTGGTTTGCTGTGTAAAGACAGACATCCAAGTCCTTCTGCTGACACAGCATTGAAAGTGGTTTGTTGTCATTTAAACAAGCATAGAGAGGACAGATGATCAGTCCTTAGGACCACGATCTTCAGTCTTGTCGCTCTGAGTTTGAATTACAGGAGGGGACAGGTTGGAGTGCTGGTTTCCTGCCCCTTCTTTTGAGGATGGTCTGGCCCCAAGGGCTGCTAAGGTATGAAGACCTGCTGTCTTTTCCCTGGCCCTGTGCTCTCTGAGTGAACGCTTAGGAGGAAGAGTCAGCCCGGGTAGGGCGCTGAGTATACCGCAGCACGTTAGAGCTTAGATGTGGTCTGTGATGGTGGTGTGGGCTGCTCTTGTCTGGCATGTGGGCTGTGCCGGAGAGCAGGAACATGTGGAGAAGGAACACGCTGAGAGTCGGCCCTAGAGCCCATCCCACAGCATGGCTCCAGGCCTCCAGCTTCTGTTTCCTTGCCTGGAAAATGACTTTGATGATGTAACTCATCTCTGTGGTCCCCTTTTTCTTTTCTTTCTTTCTTTTTTTTTTTGTGCTATTTAAAAGTACTGTCCACTATACATTTTTCTCCATAGTTACAAATCAATTTATTTATTTTAAAATCACATACATTTGTTTATCAAAATGTTTTTGTGCTGGTGTTTGTACTTGGGGTCGTTCCCAGGCTAAACACACATTTTGCTACAAAGCTATAGCCAAGTCCCTAAGTTTATTTTTAAATTCCTTAATTTATCTCAGCTTAGTCCTGTATGTGTGTTCAGCCAAAAGAATGTACATTTCTGTGCTGTAATTTTATAATGCTGTTTTGTTTTCTTTTATCGCATTTAAATGTGTAGTCCAGTACTCATGAGTAGAGCCATACTAGGGTGCAGTATTTCTACTTTTTAGTACTTAAACCACTTTAAAATAAAGATTATTCGTGTGTGTTTTCATGATGTGCGTGCGTGTGATCACACGGCACTGTGCATGCGTGGAACAGGACAGCTCTGGAGCTGGTTCTCTCCGTCCTCCTCTACACGGGCTCTGGAGCTGGTTCTCACCGTCCTCCTCTACACGGGCTCTGGAGCTGGTTCTCTCCATCCTCCTTTACACGGGCTCTGGAGCTGGTTCTCTCCATCCTCCTTTACACGGGCTCTGGAGCTGGTTCTCTCCGTCCTCCTTTACACGGGCTCTGGAGCTGGTTCTCTCCGTCCTCCTTTACACGGGCTCTGGAGCTGGTTCTCTCCATCCTCCTTTACACGGGCTCTGGAGCTGGTTCTCTCCGTCCTCCTCTACACGGGCTCTGGAGCTGGTTCTCTCCATCCTCCTTTACACTGGCTCTGGGGCTGAGCTCAGCCACCAGGCTTGTGTGGTAAGTGCTCTTCCCTTGAAGAGCCTCTGTTTCCGAGGCTGTCACTAGGACGAAGAGCCGGAGAGCCGTAGCTGGCATGCGCAGCCGTGCTGGGGGGGACCACACCTAGACTGTGAAGTCTCAGCCACGCTGGCTGTTCTCCTTCCAGTTTTTGAGGTTGGGTTTTTGTACGTAGCCCAGCCTGGCTGGAGTTGAGCATGTAACTCAGGCCAGTCACAAATGCTCCATCCTTCTGCTCCCACCTCTGCAGTGCTGGGGTTCCGGTGTATGCCGCCGCGGTACCTGGGCGCAGGCACTTTAAGATGTGTGTTTTTATGAAACTTTTTGAAAGTAGAGATGTATGTTATATGCAGTGGGAGGTACAGATCCTGAATGTGTATTTGATGCATTATATATTATACATATTTTATAATGAGTCTGCTCAAGGTTTTTTTTTTTTTTTTTTTTTGTTGTTGTTGTGATAAACACTGACCAAAAGCAGCTTGAGGAATGAGTGTACATCCTCGAGGGAGGTCAGGGTAGGGCCTCTGGCTGGAACCTGAAGGCAGGGACTGAAACAGAGACCACGGGAACCGCTTCCTGTCTTGCTTTTCATGGCTTGTTCTGCCTGCTTTCTTGTACAGTATGGGACCACCTGCCCGGGGCTGCATCCCCCACAGTAGGATATGCCCTCACATCAGTCATTAATGAAGAGAATGCCCTACAGGGGTTCCCACAGGCCAGCCCATAGCAGGCGGTCTCTCAGTTCAGGCCTCCTGTCCCACGTAACTCTAGTTCATTTCAAGTTGACAAAAACTAACCAGTATCACCCTGACACACAAAAATATGCCATCATTAAATCATAGCTCCTCTGTTCTTGTTTCTCTCCAAGATCCCGTGGTAACACCGTAGTATAAACCGTAGAGTGACAGGCAGAGTCACAGCCTTGGAAAAATCAAGGACTGGTTAAAATAGCACCGCCAGGCACACTGCCTTCCTCCCTCCCCCAGCTGCCTCTGGACCTTGGCTGCTGTCCTCCTCCATGGCCTGATTTCTCCTTAGTGCAGGGACCCAGGCCTTCAGCTTTTGCCCTGGGCAACGAGACCCTCTACAGAGATGTCACCTCTACGCTGTGAAGGCCCTTACCCTTTGGAATCTTGGCTGATCCGAAGTTGATGGTCACCCTCATCCACTGTGCACTCTGGTACCCCACAGTGAAGCAGGCCCACAAGCTGAGGCAGCTGCAGAGACAGGAGTGGGCTGGGCACCAGGCTGGATGAGTAGTCCTTGTGGTAAGAGGACTGGACGGATGGACAGCTGGTGTAGAAGGACAGCAGGCAGGTGACAGCTGGCACTGGGCCTAGCAGCCCTCCTCCCAGACCTCATGGCCTGCTGTGGCTTTCACCTCTCAGTACGTCTGCATTGTAGATCTGCCTTCTGCAGGGACTATGACAGCACCTCTTCTTGGGGCTGCTGCCATCTGATGTCACAGTCAGGGGTGTGGCCCTCCAGGAATTAAGGACAAACTAGAGAGGTTCTTTGGCCATTGTGAGAAGATTTTGACTGAAGCGGGAGGGAATGTTATCATTCCTGGTCAGGTACAGGCCTTGATGACGGGTTCTGTGATGCAGAGCCTTTTGTTAGATACAGCTGCTTCCCACGAGCCAGTTGACAGCTTAATGAGATTTAACATCTATTAGACATGATACATATAGGTGTCCAATCTCCCTGGTCTGCTGTTTCAACATGGACACTGCTGAGGTCCCAGGATACACATGATCTGAAGCAGTATTTGAAAAGAAGCGATGGCTACCCCATCACTAGCCCATTCTGCTCCCTGTTTCAGGAGGCCTTGCAGCTCTGGACACAGGAGCTGAGCAGAAGCAAAGGCTTCTCCAGTCCTCTTCCCATTGGTCAGGCACAAACCCTTCTTCCACTGCGCTCTGGAGAGCCAGGAGATCAGGAGCCTGACGGCTTGTGATTATGAGAGGCAAGTTCTTCAGAACTTCCCATTGGTCACAAACCTTATGCCTCAGCCCTAATATTGTGCTTTATCCACCTTGTGCAAATGCTAACACCCCGAAGAGTTCTGAAGGCGTAAGTCACAAACAATGCCACACCAGTTTGGAATTATGATTAATAGGGTGATATTTATTTAAAGGGGAAAAAACTTACAGATAACCGTCCCAGACAACAGCCCTCTGTGCAATCAGGAAGAAGTCTAGTCGCCGGAAATGGAGCAGGAAGCGAAGAGAGCGAGAAGGGAAGTAGCCGCTTTTTTAAAGGGAGAGAGACCACATCCCAATGGGCTGGTATCTCAGCGGCTATAGGCTGGAGGAGCGGAAGGACCTCCTGCAACAGAGTTCCAAGGACAGATGCTGTGAAATGAGCAAGTGTTATCCTTGGCTCATCCATGAGAAGCTGCTGCTTTGTATGCGGGTGTGAGAGACAAGAACATTGTTCAGAGTTGCACATCCGTAAAGAGTATAGCCTGCCAAAGACAGCACACATCCCGTGAGCTCCGAGGAGCTGAGGACATTCCTAGTTCAGCACTGCTTTCTGTGTGGGATGATAGCGTTTATAATGGCAAATTCAGGAAGCTTTAAGGGCAGGCTTGGCAGCCCTCACCTTAATGGAAGCAGAGGCAGGCAAATCTCTGAATTCAAGGCCAGTCTGGTCTACAGAGTGAGTTCCAGGCTAGTCAGGGCTAGCTACATAGAGAGACCGAGTCTCAAAACTAAGTAAGTAGGTAAATAGATAAACAAATCTTTTGGATTTCTTGGTATTCCTGTCTTTTCACAGAAGATAATAGGGTTTCTTCTGGGGCCTGGACATGCTAGGTGAGACATGCCTCTTCGCTGGGGCAGCCTTCTTCAGGAAGAAGATCCATTCAAGGAAATAGCTGTTGATACAAGTGTTTACAGGAGTGGAGCCTTCTAATGTTCGTAAGAAACATTACTGAATAGAATATGATCTGAAAGTGAGGCTTGAGAAGAAGTGGACTATCAAAGTACAGGCCACCGATCATGTGTGATTCGAATTAATGAATTGCAGTACTTTATCCACCATGTTCAATTCTTTCTTTTCCTGTGGGTAACTCTCCTACTGTAAATCACACTGTTGTAAAGTGGAAGTGTGCTGTCAGGGAAAGCTGTGCTATCCATGTGCAGAGCTGGATGCAGGAAGTGTGCTGTCAGGGAAAGCTGTGCTATCCATGTGCAGAGCTGGATGCAGGAAGTGTGCTGTCAGGGAAAGCTGTGCTATCCATGTGCAGAGCTGGATGCAGTCTTCTAAGAAAGAGGCTGAAGCAAGACAAAGTATAGAGAGATATTTTTTGTTAATATTATTTCTAAAATATTTAAACACATTTTCATTAATTTTCTTTAATGCCTAAGTAAGTCCTGCAAGACTGTCCTAATTCTCATCAGACCTGTTTTAGGTGTGCAGCAATGAAAAGAGAAGTCACACAGGCAAAGTCAGAAGTTCTTATATCTGTTACCTAGTTGTCTTTCTCAGTTGGCTTTCATTTTTATATTTTGTTTATTATTATATAAAATGTATCTTTTGGTGGTTTGAATTCTTTTATTTTTAAAAATACTTTATTCTGGCTATTTTAGTTTTATTTGTTTCAAGGAAATTCTGAGCCATGAAAATATTTGTTACAATAAACAAGATTCTTGGGACTTAGAGGAAAAAAAAATTAAGTACTTCCTAAGTCCAAAAGGGAAGAACCAAGGCTTAAAAACAGCCATGCTCAATCAGAGCCCAGCAGTGCATCCCAGGATTGTGTAGCTCATTGTTTGGCCTGGGACTCACTCATATCTTCTGGGCTCTGCCTTCCATAGCAACTTGTTTTGTAGGCTGAGGCCAGCTTCACTCTGCACCTGCTGCTGCCCTCGGTGGTCATCTCCTTCTCCTGGCTCTCTAATACGCTGGAGTGTCCACTGAAGTTGAGGCCGTATCTCTACCAACGACCTCTCCTGGCTTCTGACATTGCCAGACCTCAACTTCTCTTCATGGCCTCTTCAGTCATGATGTTGCTATTGCAGCAGAGGCTGCACCTTCATCAGTGACCTTTCATGGATCTCACAGTGCTGAGCCTTAGCTCTTCATGATCCCTTCCTGCCTTCAAACCAGTGCCGTCTGAAGGATTCCCCACTGGACCACAGCCTCTATGTCCTGGTGCTGAGGAAGTACTCCCCAGGTTTATTTCAGTGATGCTGGTCTCTTGTTAATCATAGCTAATTTTTTTTTGGGGGGGGGATTCTTTCGAGACAGGGTTTCTCTGTAGTTTTTTGTTCCTGTCCTGGAACTAGCTCTTGTAGACCAGGCTTGCCTCAAACTCACAGAGATCCGCCTGCCTCTGCCTCCCGATGCTGGGATTAAAGGTGTGCACCACCACCGCCCGGCATCATCACAGCTAATTTTTAAGCCAAGCTAATTATCATTGATTGTCTTGGTAAAGCAAAGATTTTACTTCCACAGAGTCTAGCATAGGAATGGCCCTAATATAGTCTGTGCTTCTCTCATTGGGAGCCAGGCCTGCTCTGTTTGCACTCTGGGGGGCTCTTGATATGTAAAAATGCCATTCTGTGTTTGCAAAGCTGAGGTGTCCTAAACTCTACTTTCTCTTTGGCAAGGAGGGACAGATGATTATTTCATTGCCTGAGAGCTGTCTGCTCACCTCGGACACCGTGATTCGAAGCTCCGTAGGCCCCTACATCAAGAAGTAAGTGACCACTTGCACAACTGGTATGATTTGAAGCTCCCTAGGGCCCTACATCAAGAAGTAAGTGACCATACCTTGCACACCTGGTCTGATTCGAAGCTCCGTAATGCCCTACATCAAGAAGTAAGTGACCACACCTTCACAGCTGGTGTGATTCGAAGCTCCATAGGGCCTTATATCAAGAAGTTAGTGACCCTTGCACACCTGGTGCCTGTGTGAACAGTTCCTTGAGAGTTTCTGCCATTGGCAGATGTGTCATTACTGACACGGCATGAGGACCCAGTTCTTGTTCAGCCTAGAAACACTTGGTGTGATTTGAAAGATTTATTCTCTTCTAGGTTTGCTCTCAGTTCTCTGGGAACTGTGTTTCTAAGGTCTTCAGTAGGCTGCCTGGGGTGTGGGTGTGAACCCTGTCCTTATTTACTAAGAAGTGAACATGAAATGAAATGGTGTACATGATGCGTCTTACAGATGCTTCTTCCCTGTCTTGGTTGACCCTATTGTACCTGCTTGACTTCTTCAGCTGTGAACGGATTTGGCCTTAGGGAAGAGTTGGCTTTAGTTAGGGATTAAGGAGAACAGGCAATGTGGGATTTGACACTGGGGAGGAGTTGGCTTTAGTTAGGGATGAAGGAGAGCAGGCAGTGTGGGATTTGGCATTAGGGAAAAGTTGGCTTTAGTTAGGGATGAAGGAGAGCAGACAGTGTGGGATTTGGCATTAGGGAGGAACTGGACTTAGGGATGAAGGAGAGGCAATGTAGGATTTGGTGTAAGGAAGGAGTTGGCTTTAGTTAGGGGTGAAGGTGATCAGGCAGTGTGGGTTGAGACACAGTGTTCTGGGCACATGGTGATGAGCTTTGGTTTGGGGGCATCTTGAGCACAGAGTGAGAACCTCAGCAGAAGTGATTTCTACATTTTGAGGGTTCAACCAAAGATTGTGCTGTTATATAACCCAAGTCCCCACCCCCATTCTTTATGGGCCTGTGTAGAGGCAAGGGTGCTCTGAATCCTTATTTTCTGAGAGGTTGCAATAGAAGTGGGTGACGTGGGAATCTGGACTTCAAAAGGGAATGATAGCATTGTGAAGCCTGTGTACGCCATAGGGACTGATTTGTGAGTAATTATTCAGATGCAGCTACATAATTTGTATTAGAACCTATAAGTTTAGGACAGAAGCTCAAAGTGTCTAATGGGCAGGCAGTTTCTGTCTGGTTGGCATTGCCCAGTAGAACTCCAGCAGTGGTGGAGATGCTTTGTTTCACATTATCCAAGATGCGAATCACAAATGCCTGCTGAGTAACTAGAATATGGCTTGTTTTATTAAATGACTCTTAAGCACTGCTTAACTATAAATAATTTAAATCAAAATAGTTCCGTGAGCCAGTGTTCACTGGGTTGGATGCTGCATCTCTGGATCTTTCTACCCCTCACACTCCCTGTAGTATATGTCTTTACAGGGTGAAACCCAGGAGCTTATAGAGAAAGTTTCAGCTGTGTGGTGGTGGTGCAAGCCTTTAATCCCGGACCTTGGGAGGCAGAGGCAGGCGATCTCTGTGAGTTTGAAGCCTGTAACTGGAAGGTTTTCATCCCACCTGGTCCTGCAGCCACTCCTAAAATAACCACTCAGAGGCTTAATATTAATTACATACTGTTTGGTCTGTTAGCTCAGGCTTATTATTAACTAACTCTTACAACTTAAATTTATCCCTTTCTATTCTATACTTTTTACTACCAGGCTCATCGCTTGTTACCTCACATCTTGCTTGTCTAACAGGTGCTGTATCCCTCAACTCCACCTTTCTGTATTCAGTTTGACTTTCCCACCTTGCTATATTCTTCCCTGCCATAGGCCAAAGCAACTTCTTTATTAACCAATGGTAATAAAACATATTCACAGCATACAGAAGGGCATCCCACATCATTGTCCAGCCTGGTCTATAGAGTGAGTTTCAGGACAGCTAGAGCTACACAGAGAAACCCTGTCTCAGAAAAAAAGGGGGGATAGGGAGAAAGAAAGAAAAAAGCTTTCACCAGGAAAACCAGAAAAAAAGGGGGGATAGGGAGAAAGAAAGAAAAAAGCTTTCACCAGGAAAACCAGAAAAAAAGGGGGGATAGGGAGAAAGAAAGAAAAAAGCTTTCACCAGGAAAACCAGGCTGGAAACAAGATTTCTTTCTTTCTTTTATTTATTTAATTTTTGAAAAATGACTCTTACCTACTAACCACAGAAATGGCATTGGTGGGAAAGAGAACATAGACCATGTTGGGTGTGCTCTGGGGAGAGCATAGACTGTGTTGAGTGTGTGCTGGAAAGAACATAGACTGTGTTGGGTGTGCTCTAGAGAGAACTTAGACTGTGTTGGGTGTGCTCTAGAGAGAGAACATAGACCGTGTAGGGTGTGCTCTGGAGAGAACATAGACCGTGTAGGGTGTGCTCTGGGGAGAGCATAGACTGTGTTGAGTGTGTGCTGGAGAGAACATAGACCGTGTAGGGTGTGCTCTGGAGAGAACATAGACAGTGATGGGTGTGCTCTGGGGAGAACATAGACCGTGTAGGGTGTGTTCCGGGGAGAACATAGACCGTGTAGGGTGTGCTCTGGAGAGAACATAGACCGTGTAGGGTGTGCTCTGGGGAGAACATAGACCGTGTAGGGTGTGCTCTGGAGAGAACATAGACCGTGTAGGGTGTGCTCTGGAGAGAACATAGACCGTGTAGGGTGTGCTCTGGAGAGAACGTAGACCGTGTAGGGTGTGCTCTGGAGAGAACGTAGACCGTGTAGGGTGTGCTCTGGAGAGAACGTAGACTGTGATGGGTGTGCTCTGGAGAGAACGTAGACCGTGTAGGGTGTGCTCTGGAGAGAACGTAGACCTTGATGGGTGTGCTCTGGAGAGAACATAGACCGTGTACGGTGTGCTCTGGGGAGAACATAGACCGTGTAGGGTGTGCTCTGGAGAGAACGTAGACCGTGTAGGGTGTGTTCTGGGGAGAACGTAGACCGTGTAGGGTGTGTTCTGGGGAGAACGTAGACCGTGTAGGGTGTGCTCTGGGGAGAACATAGACCGTGTAGGGTGTGTTCTGGGGAGAACATAGACCGTGTAGGGTGTGCTCTGGGGAGAACGTAGACCGTGATGGGTGTGCTCTGGAGAGAACGTAGACCGTGTAGGGTGTGCTCTGGAGAGAACGTAGACCGTGTAGGGTGTGCTCTGGAGAGAACGTAGACCGTGTAGGGTGTGCTCTGGAGAGAACATAGACCGTGTAGGGTGTGCTCTGGGGAGAGCATAGACTGTGTTGAGTGTGTGCTGGAGAGAACATAGACCGTGTAGGGTGAGCTCTGGAGAGAACATAGACAGTGATGGGTGTGCTCTGGGGAGAACATAGACCGTGATGGGTGTGCTCTGGAGAGAACATAGACCGTGTAGGGTGTGCTCTGGAGAGAACATAGACCGTGTAGGGTGTGCTCTGGAGAGAACATAGACTGTGTAGGGTGTGCTCTGGAGAGAATGTAGACTGTGTAGGGTGTGCTCTGGAGAGAACGTAGACCGTGATGGGTGTGCTCTGGGGAGAACATAGACCGTGTAGGGTGTGCTCTGGAGAGAACATAGACCGTGTAGGGTGTGCTCTGGGGAGAACATAGACCGTGTAGGGTGTGTTCTGGGGAGAACATAGACCGTGTAGGGTGTTTTCTGGGGAGAACATAGACCGTGTAGGGTGTGCTCTGGGGAGAACATAGACCGTGTAGGGTGTGCTCTGGAGAGAACGTAGACCGTGTAGGGTGTGCTCTGGGGAGAACGTAGACCGTGTAGGGTGTGCTCTGGGGAGAACGTAGACCGTGTAGGGTGTGCTCTGGGGAGAACGTAGACCGTGTAGGGTGTGCTCTGGGGAGAACGTAGACCGTGTAGGGTGTGCTCTGGGGAGAGCGTAGACCGTGTAGGGTGTGCTCTGGGGAGAACGTAGACCGTGTAGGGTGTGCTCTGGGGAGAACGTAGACCGTGATGGGTGTGCTCTGGGGAGAACGTAGACCGTGTAGGGTGTGCTCTGGGGAGAACGTAGACCGTGATGGGTGTGCTCTGGAGAGAACATAGACCGTGATGGGTGTGCTCTGGAGAGAACGTAGACCATGTAGGGTGTGCTCTGGAGAGAACATAGACCGTGTAGGGTGTGCTCTGGGGAGAGCATAGACTGTGTTGAGTGTGTGCTGGGGAGAACATAGACCGTGTAGGGTGTGCTCTGGAGAGAACATAGACAGTGATGGGTGTGCTCTGGGGAGAATATAGACCGTGTAGGGTGTGTTCTGGGGAGAACATAGACTGTGTAGGGTGTGCTCTGGAGAGAACATAGACCGTGTATGGTGTGCTCTGGAGAGAACATAGACCGTGTAGGGTGTGCTCTGGAGAGAACATAGACCGTGTAGGGTGTGCTCTGGAGAGAACATAGACCGTGTAGGGTGTGCTCTGGAGAGAACATAGACAGTGATGGGTGTGCTCTGGGGAGAACATAGACCGTGTAGGGTGTGTTCTGGGGAGAACATATACCGTGTAGCGTGTGCTCTGAAGAGAACGTAGACTGTGTAGGGTGTGCTCTGGAGAGAACGTAGACCGTGTAGGGTGTGCTCTGGAGAGAACATAGACCGTGTAGGGTGTGCTCTGGAGAGAACGTAGACCGTGTAGGGTGTGCTCTGGAGAGAACGTAGACAGTGATGGGTGTGCTCTGGAGAGAACGTAGACCGTGTATGGTGTCCTCTGGAGAGAACATAGACCGTGTAGGGTGTGTTCTGGGTTGAACATAGACCGTGTAGGGTGTGTTCTGGGGAGAACATAGACCGTGTAGGGTGTGCTCTGGGGAGAACGTAGACCGTGATGGGTGTGCTCTGGAGAGAACGTAGACCGTGTAGGGTGTGCTCTGGAGAGAACGTAGACCGTGTAGGGTGTGCTCTGGAGAGAACGTAGACCGTGTAGGGTGTGCTCTGGAGAGAACGTAGACCGTGTAGGGTGTGCTCTGGGGAGAACGTAGACCGTGTAGGGTGTGCTCTGGGGAGAACGTAGGCCGTGTAGGGTGTGCTCTGGAGAGAACATAGACCGTGTAGGGTGTGCTCTGGAGAGAACATAGACCGTGTAGGGTGTGCTCTGGAGAGAACATAGACAGTGATGGGTGTGCTCTGGGGAGAACATAGACCGTGTAGGGTGTGTTCTGGGGAGAACATAGACCGTGTAGGGTGTGCTCTGGAGAGAACATAGACCGTGTAGGGTGTGCTCTGGAGAGAACGTAGACCATGTAGGGTGTGCTCTGGAGAGAACGTAGACAGTGATGGGTGTGCTCTGGAGAGAACGTAGACCGTGTATGGTGTGCTCTGGAGAGAACATAGACCGTGTAGAGTGTGTTCTGGGGACAACATAGACCGTGTAGGGTGTGTTCTGGGGAGAACATAGACCGTGTAGGGTGTGTTCTGGGGACAACATAGACCGTGTAGGGTGTGCTCTGGGGGAACATAGACCGTGTAGGGTGTGCTCTGGGGGAACATAGACCGTGTAGGGTGTGCTCTGGAGAGAACATAGACCGTGTAGGGTGTGCTCTGGGGGAACATAGACCGTGTAGGGTGTGCTCTGGAGAGAACATAGACCGTGTAGGGTGTGCTCTGGAGAGAACATAGACCGTGTAGGGTGTGCTCTGGAGAGAATGTAGACCGTGTTGGGTGTGCTCTGGAGAGAACATAGACCGTGTTGGGTGTGTTCTGGAGAGAACAAAGACCATATTGGGTGCGCTGGACAGGCACAGCCATAGGAAAGATGCCTCTGTCTTGGGTAGAGCCTCGACAACTTGAGCACATTCCCTCTGAAGCAAACCAAACTGGCCGAGGCTACACTTTAATTCCTTCGATTTGTCTTCATTTTACAAGGTGGAAGCCTCCTCCATCTCCCCTGCTGGCCCTGTGCACATTTTTAGTCTCAGAGAAGCACACAGGTGATCAGTCCCTCTGGAAGTCTTATCTGGACATTTTACCCTCTTCGTACACCTGCCCGGTCTGCTGGGAGCCGGAAGTGGTAGATCTTCTGCCCGAACCTTTAAGGACAAAGGCGGAGGAACAGAGAGCCCACGTGCAGGACTTGTTTGTCTCCTCCAGAGCCTTCTTCACCTCCCTGCAGCCTCTGTTTGCGGAGTCTGTGGACAACATTTTCAGCTACAGTGCCTTCCTGTGGGCCTGGTGCACTGTGAACACCAGAGCTGTGTACCTGCGGTCCACGAGGCAGGACAGCCTTTCTGCGGAGCCAGACACATGCGCGCTTGCTCCTTACCTGGATCTGCTCAACCACAGCCCGCATGTCCAGGTGAGAAGCTGGCATGGACATGTGTCCTGTTGTTTTAGAATTCCAACATGTGGAGTCGAGAATGAAGTAGTGGAGGTGTAAGCTGCTTCAGGTAGCCGTGTTAGACCAATCTTTCTGCAGCCACATTTTGTTCCTGGCCCTGATGTAATTCTAGCAAGCTCTCTGTGTTTGTACTGCACTGCTCTCCAGGCCTGCAGGGCCCTGTGCTGAGCCCCTGGGCCTTTCAGCCCAGACTGTCTTTCCTTCCCAGCCTTCAGGACCCTGTGGTCTAGCTTTACTTCCCAGCCTTCAGGACCCTGTGGTCTAGCTTTCCTTCCCAGCCTTCAGGACCCTGTAGTTTAGCTTTCCTTCCCAGCCTTCAGGACCCTGTGGTCTAGCTTTCCTTCCTAGCCTTCAGGACCGGGGTGCTGTCTAGCTTTCCTTCCTGCCCCACCCCTTTTACACTTGGTGGTGTAGCTGTCTGCTCGTGTGTCTTTGTTCTGACTGGGGATTGTCTGTGCCTCTCCAATGGACTCAAGGCTTTGTGGCCTTCTGTTGTTCCTCTTTGAAACCTCAGTGGCCAGGACAAGGCTTGATTATGGAGCAGATGAGAACCTGTGTGAACAGGAGTCTGCGGGCCATGAAAGAATTCCTAATGATAGCCACGATGCCCTCTCCCTCAGCTCTTTTCTCACTGGACACACTGGAGATAAATGTGTTTGCATGGCGTGCTGGGAGAAAGGCTAGCCGAGGAAAGCCAGCCTTGGAGGGCCGAGAGGAAGCGCTCCGTCAGCTCACCCGAAACCTATTTAGGGTTTGGGATCTGCACCTTTGCTGTCTTCTAAGAGACACGCCACCAGGAAGAGATCAGTGTCACCTTGTCATTTCACACGGCAGTGGGAAGACCCCGGAAGGTCCTGCTTGTCTTCTTGGCCCTGGGAGACATTTCCCACAGTCTCCAGCACGCGAGCCCGGTGTTAGGTGAAAGGTCATAGGATGCTGGACATAGGGGCTCAGTCCCCAGCCGCTTCGCTTTGATCTAATTGGTGTGTTTGTGGGTATTTGCACTTCAGTGATTTTCTAGACAATCATGGGAGGACATGACCACAGCTGGACGATGGGAGCCTGAGGGCCAGAGCTGCAAAAGACCTTTGTAGGCTCACGGACTATAAACAAATGAAACTGTGGCCAAGTCCAGCCGCACAGCTTTTGACAACCGATGGTCTTAGCACCACCGCATTGTCTTCCATTCCTGACCAGAGTCAGAGGCCATGTGTTTGGCCATTTTCAGAGCCCGTGGTTGGACCTCCTCCCTCATCAACAAGTAAAGGTGAGATGAGGAAACAGACCCAAGTGCAGCTGTACTGTTCCCCACCTGTGGCCGACTTCGTCACCGGGCATTTCAAACTGCATCGTACTACAGTTAATATGGTAACTTGGTGAGCCTTTGAGATTAGGTTAAAATGAGAAATCTTATGACTTTTCCCTGTAGGTAAAAGCAGCATTCAATGAGAAAACCGGCTGCTATGAGATCATAACGGCCTCACGCTGTCGGAAGCATGAGGAAGTGTTTATCTGCTATGGCCCCCATGATAACCAGCGGCTGCTCCTGGAGTATGGCTTTGTGTCCGCCTGCAATCCTCACGCCTGTGTTCCTGTCCCTGGAGGTTGGTGTCAGTGCTGTTCTCCCAGAGGTAGTGTCGTGTCCTGCTGTAGTAGAAGGAGGCTGGAAGGGCATCCTTCACTTATGGCTTCAAGGAGCGCTAGCCTTGCCTCTGCTGATTGGATGTCTGTGTTGCAGTAAAGACAACAAAACTGATTGGTTCTGAGGCTGCGATGAACTGAGAAGGTGGAGTGGGAGGAGAGTTGCTTAGGAAGTGATTGACAGTCATAGCTGAGCGGATGCAGATCTCTGTACTGAGCAGAAACTTAGTAAGCCCACATGGGTGAGTGGCTGGAGCATCCCAGCATATAGTCGAGGTATTTATATGTAGGCTCCGATGGATGTAGACCCTCTCAGAGATGCTGTCCACCCTCTAGGCAGAACGACCATTATGCTTCTTAGATTAGAGATAGAAGGGCTTGAACCGGGCCACTGAGATGGGTCCGTGGGTAAAGGGGCTTGCCACAAAGCCTGATGGTGTGAGTTCAATTCTCAGGACCTGCAGGGAGGAGAGGAGGAGAGAACCGATCCCTGCAAATTGTCCTTAGGCCTTCACACACGTGTGTGGTGCACACACAACACATAAAATAAATACGTGTAATATTTTTTTAAAAGGAAAATGCGAGCAGGGCCTTGTCCAGTGAGTCCGAGAGCCAGCTCTGAGATGGCCTCATTCGAGGTCTCACAGGTGCCATACGATGGCTCTAACTGCAGACAGTTGCCAGGTAAACCACTGAACAGCAGCGACATTGGTTAGAAGTGGCCTGAGGATCAGCTCAGAGGCAGGACAGTTGCCTGGCATCTGCAAGTCCCTCACTTAAGGAAAGGGAAGGCTCGTTTTTGTCAGAAAAAAGCCAAAGCCCTATTTTGTTTTTGTTTTATAAAATGCAGAACTGAACTTATCATCACTTCCAAACAGACATCTTTTGTTTGCTCTCTCCTTCAAAAACGTTTGTCGGTTTTCACACGTTCACGTGTGGCTGCAGCCGCTGATCGTGGACTGCTGCAGACAGAGTTGCCATCCGTCCTCCCTGTGTTCCTGTGCAGCCTCTTCCTGGCTCTGTCTCCCAGCAGGGGCTCTGGCGTCTTCGTCTTCGCTTGTTCTACTGTGGATATGCTTAGTGGTGGTGGTGTGTATCTGTGTGTGCGTGTGTGTTTGTGTGTGCACACATGTGTACGCGCATGCGTGTGTATGTATGTGTGTGTCTGTGTGTGGGCGTGTGTGTGCACGCGTGTGTGCGTGTATGTGTGTGCATGTGTGTGCGTGTGTGTGAACCTCACTTCTCCGCATTCTGTCCTCAGCCTTGGAAACCTTACATCTTTTCAGGGACCCCGACCTCGGGAGTTGCCCTGAGGAGGACACTGGTGTGGGTCAGGAAGCACTCTTGATTATATGGAATGGTCATGGGAGGGAAGTCAGCTGGAGGGCATGCATTGAGTTCTGTCCTCTGACATCATCTCTCTCCGACCTAGAGACGCTGATTAAGTACCTCCCAGCGGCCGACAAACAGATGCACAGGAAGATGTCCATTCTGAAGGAGCGCGGCTTTACAGAGTGAGTGCTTTTGGAATTTCCATGCAAACACTGGGGGTTCTGGTCCTGCCTCTGTATTAGCTGATGGCTGGGTATTTATTAGGTCTTACCCTGTGCTAAAGTTGTGCTCGGTGTTGTGGACACTCAAGGAGTGGACCGTGAGAGTCAGGCTTGAAACAGTCCTGTCCATGTTGTGAGGTGGGTCGTGTTCAGGTGGGGTTATCGTCACAAGCTAGGCTGACCCCTAGCAGAACGCATCCACTGGCGTCAGGGGCAGTGAGAGACAGACCCCAAACTCACCCTCTACATCTTCTTTTCTGTATAAATCATGGTTTTCCATGGCTTGCAACTGTGAGGCTGCTGGCTGGGGTAGCTGCGTGTTTGCTCTCCGGGATGACCTGAGGCCTCACTGTGAACTGTGTGGTGTGGTTACCAGGCCTCCTGCTGTGGTCCCCTAAACCAAGTTCAATGTCTTACAGAAATTGATTGGAAAATGGCTTTTCACCCTGTCTTAGGGTTACTATTGCTGTGATAAAACACCATGATCAAAAGCAGGCTGGAGAGGAGAGGGTTTATTTGGTTTACAGTTCTACATCATAGTCTCACTGAAGGAAGTCAGGACAGGAATTCAAACAGGGCTGGAACCTGTAAGGGCTGATTCAGGAGCCATGGAGGGAGCTGCTTGCTGGCTTGTTCTCAGTGGCTTGCTCAGCCTGCTTTCTTACAGAACCCAGGACAGCAGCCCAGGACGGCAGGCACCACCCACCTTCCCCAACAACCACTAAGAGCCTTATAGGCAAACCTATAGCTTGATCTTACTGAGAGATTTTTCTTAATTGAAATTCCCTCTTGTCCAGTGACCCTAGCTTGTGTCAAGTTGGCAGAAGAGTCAGAACACAAGTTCCATTGTGTGGAATGAACCGCAGACTGTCCTGTACCCTGGCTTTATTCACAGAATCCACAGACTCAGTATCTCACACTACTTTGACCTTCGTGGAGGTGACCTAACATCTGTGCCTGGTTAAAGCCACTGCCAGGGTCCTTAGGTGTTCTCCATGGTGCCGTTTCTAGTGCTAGATTTGCTGATGCTGGTCTTCTCTTGTAGAAATGTGAGTGCTAGGTTTGCTGATGCCGGTCTTCTCTTGTAGAAATCTGACATTTGGATGGGATGGACCGTCTTGGAGGCTGCTCACAGCTCTTAAGTTGCTGTGTCTGGAAGCTGAGAAATTGTAAGTTTCACCTGCATTGCTTTTCTTTGTTTCTTGAGACGGGGTTTCTCTGTGTAGCCCTGGCTGTCCCAGAACTCACTGTAGACTAGGCTGGGCTTGAACTCAGAGATCTGTCTGCTCTGTCTCCTGAGTGCTGGGATTGAAGGTGTGTGCCACCACAGCCCGGCTCCTACATTGCTTTTCCTTGGTGCCTGTTTCTTGGTAAACATTAAAGTCATTTGTCTGGGGAGTTTGCAGTGGAGGGCAGAAGAGCAGGCTGTGCCCTGGTGCTGCTGTTGTGAGAACCCACCCAGCCTTTAGGAGTACTCTGCACTCTGGTCAGCTGTCCCCAGGTGTCACCTGGTGACCTGGTGCTGCTGTTGAGTACCCACCTAGCATTTAGGAGTACTCTGCACTCTGGTCAGGTGTCCCCAGGTGTCCCCAGGTGTCCCCTGGTGACCCAGTGCTGACAGTCTGAGTAAGTGCCTATGTGCTGTCAGCATGGGCACGCCAGAGGCACGTCTCTGAGTAGGCGGGTTTTCCTTGCAGCAAGCCCTGTCTGGTCCCATGCCCCCCCCCCCCCAGTTCTCTCCTGGGGTTGATCTAGAAGCCCTGCTGAAGGGCTGTTCCATGAGAGGAGGCAGGTAGAGGAGCCCCAGTGCAGACATGCACTTTGGTTAGGCTCCTTAATATCCCTAAGGAGCTACCAGTGGCTTCTCAGAGCTGTCTGTCCACCCTCATGGCTGTGCTCTGGTCATCACTGGAACTCCTCCAGGCCCAGGACTGATTTGACAGCAGCTGCCTTACTGCTGCCCAGTATGTTAGGCAAGTGTCCAGCAGTGAGTAGGAACAGCCCCGGCACAGCTCTGTCGTTCTTCCGGCACGTCTTACTCTTTCCTATGGGGACTCAGAAGTAAGTTTCCTCCTGGTCTTAATCCCAGAAATGTAGTTGAGTCATGTTCCGGGCTGATTGGCACCACAGCAGTTTTACTTACATGGGAATTAAATTTTTTAAAAAATAATTGCATATAGAAATATTGAAAAAATTAAGAAAAAGTTAGTTGTAGATAAAGAAAAATAGAAAAATATGTATGCACAATTGTCTGTCTTATCATTTTTTACTGTATGTAGGCAAGTGTGTCATAGAACGTGAAAAAGTCTCACAATTGGTTTCCAGCTGTGTGGACTGTAGGTGACACTTGCTACAGTTAGTGCTCTGTTGCTGTGAAGATACCATGACCACAGCAACTTTGTAAAAAGAAGCATTCACCTGGGGCTGAAACGCAGTTTTAGAGGCTGCAGAGGTTTGAACATCAGGCCTCATGGACTCATTTGTTTGAACAGTTGGCCCACAGGGAGTGGCACTATTAGGAGGTGTGGCCTTCTAGAGTAGGTGTGGCCTGATTGTAGGAAGTGTGCACTGTGGGGCAGGCTTTGAGATCTCATATGCACAAACACACAGTCTCCTTCTGCTGCCTGCAGATCAAGATATAGAACTCCTAGCTCCTTCTCCAGCACCATGTCTGTCTGTGTGCTGTGTATTTCCCACCATGACAATGATGATGACATCTGAAACTGGAAGCTTCCCCAGTTAAATGTTTTCATTTATAAGAGTTGCTGTGGTCACAGTGTCTCTTCACAGCAAGAGAAACCCTGACTAAATCAGAGGTTTAGTCTACTTTCATCATAGCAGGGAGGATGGTGGCATGCAGAGAGACAAGGTGCCTGAGAGGAAGCTGAGAGTTCCACATCTAGACCTGCAGGCAGCAGGAAGAGAGAGCCACTGGGCCTGGCTTGGACTTTTCAAACTTCAAAGCCCACCCCCAGTGATATAATTCCTACATCAACAAGACCACACCTCCTGATAGTGCCATTCTCTGTGCTTGTGGGGACCAATTACATTCAGATTACCACACTGTGGCTTCCGTTCAGGAATTGCAGCGGTATCACAGGTTTAGGGGCAAGCCTCCTGTGCCTCCTGTGCTCAGAGGAACAGGGGCATGGCTGTCTCCTGTAGCTGGGGGACCTGCTGAACCGATCTTGTTGGACATTCTGATTCTAGTACGTCCTGGAAAAAGGTGCTTCTTGGCGAAGTGATCTCAGATGCAAACGAGAAGACAAGCTTGGGTGTGGCCCGGAAAATATGCTCTGACTTCATCGAGGAGACCCGTGCTGTGCTGCGCAAGGTGCGTCCCTGATGCTGCTGGGCCCAGTTCCAGCCCCGACAGTCGTGAGACTCTCCCGACAGTAAATGTTTGGTCAACTTTATATCCGATGGTGTTAACAGAGTTACACCTAAAGTTATACATACAGTGCCAGGGAGACCGCCCAACAGACACTTGTTGTGCTAGTGCAAGGGCCAGAGTTCAGATCCCAGCACATGTAGCAGTCGGGTGTGGCAGCTGGCGTTCCTGTAACTCAGCCAGCCTCGTCCAGAGCGCTAAGGATCAAGTGAGAGACTGCGGATCACACTACAGATGGACAGCGGTAGGAGCTGGAAGGTTCACATGTAGTGTGTGATGTACAGGCCAGTCTGAAAGGTTTACATACCATGTTTGATGCACGGGCCGGTCTGGAAGGTTCACATGTAGTGTGTGATGTACAGGCCAGTCTGGAAGGTTTACATACCATGTTTGATGCACGGGCCGGTCTGGAAGGTTTCCATGCTGTGTGTGATAAACGGTCTGGTCTGGAAGGTTTACATACCATGTTTGATGCACGGGCCGGTCTGGAAGGTTTACATGCTGTGTGTGATGCACAGGCCAGCCTGGAAGGCTTACATGCTGTGTGTGATACATGGGCCAGTCTGGAAGGTTCACATGCAGTGTGTGATAAACGGGCTGGTCTGGAAGGTTCACATACAGTGTGTGATAAACGGGCTGGTCTGGAAGGTTCACATGCAGTGTGTGATAAACGGGCTGGTCTGGAAGGTTCACATGCGGTGTGTGATAAACGGGCTGGTCTGGAAGGTTCACATGCAGTGTGTGATAAACGGGCTGGTCTGGAAGGTTCACATGCAGTGTGTGATGCCCAATGGTGCTTTGGTGTATGCTCACCGTGTGGAATTGTCTAGCCAAACTGCTGAACAGTATTTTCCAGACTACAGCTCTCGGAATCTGTTTCTTGACATGCAGTGCGCGTCTTGTGCCTAACTGAGGTCACGTGTTGTACAGGGAACTCTGTGGTCTGTTCCTCTTGTCTAGGTAAACTGTGTTTCTTGACTGACATCACCAGTCCCATCACCATTTACGTGGTGGTCACGGTTCTTTACAGACATAAAAACCTGAAGACCCTGGCTTTGTGCCTGACTTTACCCAGTGTTCTCCAGGCTCTTTCTTGTCACAAATAAGGGTTCCTCTTCTCCCCTTCCCTTTTTTTGTGATATTGGGGATGGGACCCAGGTCCTCACACCTTCTAGACACACCGTCTAAACCTGAGCCCTGTAACTGCCCTCATTCCCATTTAAGACTATACCTCTGTGAAGTATAGCAACATTTTCTTTTTCCATTCATCACTGGGCACTTAGATCAAGTTTTAAATTTTGTCTCATGTTTTATCATTGCCTGATTTCTTAGTGATAGTGTTTCAAATATCCTTCTTTAACTTCATAATTTTTTTTGTTTTAATGAGAAAACAGTTTATAAGAAATGTGACTATTAAAATTCAGAAGTTTGTGCATTTTGAAGATTTTATGCTAAATGAGAAGAAAAGCACAAAGGGACAAGGCCTATCCACTTACAGGGTTCCCAGGCCAGGGAACCCAGGGCTCTGGGAAGGGAGCTGGCTTCCTCAAGTGATCTGGGCGACTTAAGGCCATTGACTGTCTGCCTCAAAGCAGTTAAAACCATAAATTTTATAATGCATTTCTAGAATATTAAAAAGTTAAAAATTATTTTCAGGTCTCTGACATGAAGGAAGGAAACATGCTGCTGGTAAATCAACTCGCTTTGGTGGAAGCCTTGTGGGTGGAGGAGCTGAGGATTCTCCAGGCCTCTGCTGAGATTGTGAGCAGTTTATGATCCCCCTTCCCCGACATCACGGGGAGCCTGTGATCCCTCCTGTGGAGGGCGTACTTTCCTCGTTTTTGCTGAGGTTGACTAAATAGACTCATATGACGTCCTTTGCAGTCTTCGGATGGTTTCTAATAAACATTTAATGTTTCTCCCTCTGCTTTTCTTATATGTAGAGAACTTTCAAGAGCTCTCATGGGATGGAATGGCAGCTGCTCTCGGCCCTGGGAAGTATGTCTGTCCTGAGCAGAGGAGGGTTCTAGGTGCTGGGTAACTAAGGACAGACATGCGCTGTCTGTGTCAACACTTCCCTGCCTGCGTCAGTGGGGAAGGAACAGCATGGAAGTGATGAACTGAAGAGTGGGAGGCTGGACAGGCAGGTAGCCTGCTGTGGTCTGTCTCCTGGTGTCAGCCCGCTGTGGTCTGTCTCCTGGTGTCAGCCCGCTGTGGTCTGTCTCCTGGTGTCAGCCCGCTGTGGTCTGTCTCCTGGTGTCAGCCCGCTGTGGTCTGTCTCCTGGTGTCAGCCCGCTGTGGTCTGTCTCCTGGTGTCAGCCCGCTGTGGTCTGTCTCCTGGTGTCAGCCCGCTGTGGTCTGTCTCCTGGTGTCAGCCCGCTGTGGTCTGTCTCCTGGTGTCAGCCCGCTGTGGTCTGTCTCCTGGTGTCAGCCCGCTGTGGTCTGTCTCCTGGTGTCAGCCCGCTGTGGTCTGTCTCCTGGTGTCAGCCCGCTGTGGTCTGTCTCCTGGTGTCAGCCCGCTGTGGTCTGTCTCCTGGTGTCAGCCCGCTGTGGTCTGTCTCCTGGTGTCAGCCCGCTGTGGTCTGTCTCCTGGTGTCAGCCCGCTGTGGTCTGTCTCCTGGTGTCAGCCCGCTGTGGTCTGTCTCCTGGTGTCAGCCCGCTGTGGTCTGTCTCCTGGTGTCAGCCCGCTGTGGTCTGTCTCCTGGTGTCAGCCCGCTGTGGTCTGTCTCCTGGTGTCAGCCCGCTGTGGTCTGTCTCCTGGTGTCAGCCCGCTGTGGTCTGTCTCCTGGTGTCAGCCCGCTGTGGTCTGTCTCCTGGTGTCAGCCCGCTGTGGTCTGTCTCCTGGTGTCAGCCCGCTGTGGTCTGTCTCCTGGTGTCAGCCCGCTGTGGTCTGTCTCCTGGTGTCAGCCCGCTGTGGTCTGTCTCCTGGTGTCAGCCCGCTGTGGTCTGTCTCCTGGTGTCAGCCCGCTGTGGTCTGTCTCCTGGTGTCAGCCCGCTGTGGTCTGTCTCCTGGTGTCAGCCCGCTGTGGTCTGTCTCCTGGTGTCAGCCCGCTGTGGTCTGTCTCCTGGTGTCAGCCGCTGTGGTCTGTCTCCTGGTGTCAGCCCGCTGTGGTCTGTCTCCTGGTGTCAGCCCGCTGTGGTCTGTCTCCTGGTGTCAGCCGCTGTGGTCTGTCTCCTGGTGTCAGCCCGCTGTGGTCTCTCTCCTGGTGTCAGCCGCTGTGGTCTGTCTCCTGGTGTCAGCCCGCTGTGGTCTGTCTCCTGGTGTCAGCCCGCTGTGGTCTGTCTCCTGGTGTCAGCCTGCTGTGGTCTGTCTCCTGGCGTCTTCCATTTTAGTCCACTCTGGCAGTTACTGGTCCAGAAGTGACCCTCTAAGACCCAGGTAGGTACTCTTGGCTTAAGGACAAGTTGGGGCCAGGCAGCTCTGGTAGCGTTGTGTCAGAGGATTGGCAGTGCTGGATCACAATTGGATCGCTTAGGCCTTCCCCATGTATACCCACTGAGGGAAGTGTCGAGGTGCCTTCTTGATGGGAGGCAGTGTGTGTGTGTGTGTGTGTGTGTGTGAGGTGGGTGGGGAGGCTTGGGGTCTTTCTGAGGACAGCGTGCTGGTGGCCTCTTGCAAGCTGCTGGCAGGGAAGGACTGAATCACACAGGGCTTTCTGCTTTTTTTTCTGGCACTTTCCTGTGCAGCCTTTCCATGTGGGGACGCAGGCTCTGCTATTTCATGCTCCTAAAGCAGGGTCAGAACAGGGGAGGAGAAATGGCAGGAAGGTACAGGGGCAGGTATTAGGACCAATAGGGAGAAGGGAGGAAGTGGGACCTATAAAATACCAAGCCAGCATCCATTTATCAAGCTTCTAGCCTCAGCCCTCCTCCCCACAGATAAAACAGTTACTTTTTTCCACAGCTTGCTCTCCCGTGTTTCCTGGTTGCTCAGTTCTGTGTTCATGCCACAGTGAATTTTGCAGTCCCCCAGGCAACTGCTGACATCCCTGTCACAGATGCAATTCAGTTCAGGACAACTGAAGGCGCTATGACATTTTGTCCTGTGTCTGTTCTCTGAGTTCTCTTTTCTCTCCTAAGAACCAGGGTGCAGAAATTCTGAGCAGTCTGTGACCTTGGAGGACCCTCCAAAGTGGGATTAAGACTAACAGGTCTAGGGTCTCTCAGGCAACTGTTGCTATGGCCCAGAGTCCTCATTCCCTGTGATGTCTCTTCTTCCCCAGCACTCTAGTTCTCTCTGTGGAGCCCTGCACGGCGAGTGCACAGTGCAGGGGAGTTCCAGCAAGCATTCTCAGCTACAGTCTGAACATCGTTCCTTGTGCTCATACATAGAAGTCTGCATACACTTGTCTCCCTCTCCCCTGTGTGTCCGTGTGGGTCCTGTACCCCCATTGTGTGCTTATGGAGGTCAGAAGACAACTTGTAGGAATTGGGTCTCTCCTACCATGTGGATCCTAGAGATTGAACTCAGGACAGGTTTCATGGCAAACGTCCTCACCCACTAAGCCATTACACCAACCCAACTCCTCTATCCTTTTAAAAATGTCTGTGCTTATGGTATGTGCATGGCATGTTGTGTGAGTATACTTGTGCGTGTGTGTGTGTGGTTGTTGTGTGAGTATACTTGTGTGTGTATGTGTATGGCATGTTGTGTGAGTATACTTGTGCGTGTGTGTGTATGGCATGTTGTGTGAGTATACTTGTGCGCGTGTGTGTGTGGCATGTTGTGTGAGTATACTTGTGCGTGTGTGTGTGCATGGCATGTTGTGTGAGTATACTTGTGCGTGTGTGTGTGTATGGCATGTTGTGAGTATACTTGTGCGTGTGTGTGTATGGTTGTTGTGTGAGTATACTTGTGCGCGTGTGTGTGTGGCATGTTGTGTGAGTATACTTGTGCGTGTGTGTGTGCATGGCATGTTGTGTGAGTATACTTGTGCGTGTGTGTGTGTATGGCATGTTGTGTGAGTATACTTGTGCGTGTGTGTGTGTGTGTATGGTTGTTGTGTGAGTATACTTGTGCGTGTGTGTGTGTATGGCATGTTGTGTGAGTATACTTGTGCGTGTGTGTGTGTATGGCATGTTGTGTGAGTATACTTGTGCGTGTGTGTGTATGGCATGTTGTGTGAGTATACTTGTGTGTGTGTGTGTATGGCATGTTGTGTGAGTATACTTGTGCGTGTATGTGTATGGCATGTTGTGTGAGTATACTTGTGCGTGTGTGTATGGCATGTTGTGTGAGTATACTTGTGCGTGTGTGTGTGGCATGTTGTGTGAGTATACTTGTGCGTGTGTGTGTGTATGGCATGTTGTGTGAGTATATTTGTGCGTGTGTGTGTATGGTTGTTGTGTGAGTATACTTGTGCGTGTATGTGTATGGTTGTTGTGTGAGTATACTTGTGCGTGTGTGTATGGCATGTTGTGTGAGTATACTTGTGCGTGTGTGTGTGTATGGCATGTTGTGTGAGTATACTTGTGCTTATGGTATGTGTGTGGCATGCTGTGTTGGTGGAGATTGCTCATGCGTTTCCCAGCTGCCCAGACACGAATAATCACACAGAAATTATATTAATTACTGTTGTGGGAGGTCACTTGTTTGTTTCCTGGCTGCTCAGCAGCTCAGCCCTGAAATAATCGCACAGAAACCATATTATTTGCAATACCATTTGGCCAATAGCTTAAGCGTATTTCTGGCTAACTTTTATATCCTAAACTAACCCATCTCCATTAATCTGTGTGTTGCCACAAGGCTGTGGCTTACCAGGTAAAGTTCCAGTGTCTGTCTCTGGTGGGGCTACATGGTTTCTCCCTGACTCTGCCCTTCTTTCTCCCAACATTCAGTTTAGTTTTCTGTTGGGGACTGTGGACCCCCAGACCCTGAATTTCCTGTAAACAACTTGTTATGCTTGCAACTTCTCTGAACAAAACAACTTGTTTTCCTGTGCTTGCAGCTGCTCTGAACACAAGACAGGGGAGTGGTTTCTAGTAGGGTTGCAGCTGAGAGTTAGGGAATGGCCATTAGTCAAGGAGACCCTATATAAGCTGCCCTGGAACACAATAAAGGAGGCATTCTTGTTTCAAGGATGACCCATGTCTCTGTGTGTGTCTGTGTGTTTCAATCTCCAGCCCCTTGCCTGGCTCACAAACTGTCCCATACAGGCTACAGGCATAGTACTGTAGTACACGTAGTACAGGTGCTACAGGACCATAGTACATGTAGTAATATGGATAGTACAGTTTTCCCCACCTACCTCTATTCCTTGTGCAGGCCCAAGACAGTTTCTTTACTAATCAATGGTAATCACAGCATACAGAGGGAAATACCACATCACCTCCCCTTTTCTGTTTAAATGAAATGGAAGATTTTAATTTTAACATAGTAAAATTACCTATAACAAAACAGGCATTAGGGGCTGGAGAGATGGCTCAATGGTTAAGAGCACTGCTTGCTCTTCCAAAGGTCCTGAGTTCAATTCCCAGCAACCACATGGTGGCTCACAGCCATCTGTAATGAGATCTGGTGTCCTCTTCTGGCCTGCAGGAATGCATACAGGCAGAACACTGTATACTTAATAAATAAATAAATCTTTAAAAAAAAACAGGCATTAAGAAAGAATTACGGTTACAATATTTATATTTATTTTATCTTTTATCATAACTATGGAAAACTCTAACTATAAATTCTTCAACTCCATCAAAGACTCCAGAAGGACATAATATTACCTAATTAAACAAGAAGTGCATTGTAAGCTACTTCCAGAACTTTAGAATTGACAGAGACATCTTGCTGCCTGGACAGTCACCCAAAGTTCTTCTGTACCATTGGGGCATCCATCTTCAGTCTACAGGCCCATAGTATCCAGTAGACTTTTCC